CTGTTGGTGGTGTGGTGGTTCTTCTAGTTGTTTTGGTGTTTGTGATTCTGCGGCGCAGAAAGAGACATGTTGGGACAGGAACATCTGTGGAGGGCTCATTGGTGGCATTTGGGTATAGGGATTTGCAAAATGCCACGAAGAATTTCTCAGAGAAACTGGGAGGAGGGGGTTTTGGCTCTGTCTTCAAAGGAACATTGTCTGATTCTAGTGTCATTGCAGTGAAGAAGCTTGAAAGCATTAGCCAAGGTGAGAAGCAGTTCAGAACAGAAGTGAGCACAATTGGGACAGTCCAACATGTGAATCTTGTAAGGCTTCGCGGGTTCTGTTCCGAAGGTACTAAAAAACTTCTGGTTTATGATTACATGCCAAATGGTTCCTTGGATTCGAAAATGTTTCAGGAAGATAGCTCAAAGGTGTTGGATTGGAAACTGAGGTACCAAATTGCTCTTGGAACAGCAAGAGGGTTGACTTACCTTCACGAGAAGTGTAGAGACTGCATCATACACTGTGATGTGAAGCCAGAAAACATTCTCCTTGATGCTGATTTTGTTCCAAAGGTGGCAGACTTTGGCCTTGCAAAGCTGGTTGGAAGGGACTTCAGCAGGGTCCTCACTACCATGAGAGGGACAAGAGGTTATCTTGCCCCAGAGTGGATATCAGGTGTGGCTATCACTGCCAAAGCTGATGTCTACAGCTATGGAATGATGCTTTTCGAGTTTGTGTCAGGTAGGAGGAACTCTGAGGCATCGAAAGATGGTGAAGTGAGATTCTTCCCTACTTTTGCTGCAAACACTGTCCACCAAGAAGGGAATGTGCTTAGCTTGTTGGACCCTAGGTTGGAGGGAAATGCTGACATTGAAGAGGTCACTAGAGTCATAAAAATTGCTTCATGGTGTGTCCAAGATGATGAATCTCATAGACCTTCCATGGGTCAGGTGGTTCAAATCCTTGAAGGGTTCTTGGATGTGACTTTGCCTCCAATTCCAAGGACCCTTCAAGCCTTTGTTGACAACCATGAGAACATAGTTTTCTTCACTGACTCCAGCTCCACCCAGAGTTCACAGGTAAAGAGTACCTCCTCTCAAGCCAAGAGCAATACCTCATCCAATAATTCTCAGTCCTCATGACAAAATTAGAGGACATGCTTTCTCTTAGTCATTCAAGAACAATAGGTGAAGCCATACTTTGATTTTGAAGCATTTAATTCTAATGTTATGGTTTTTCCAAAGAAGGATTTCTGCCAAGATGCTTGTGTGTTCAACCAAAATAGTGTCATCTGAGTCTGATATAGCTATTCCTGTTTTTATTTGTATGAGGCAGTTGGGGCTTGGGGGATCATTAGAGTTGAATTGTGGCAGAAACATGGTGCATGTAAGTTAGGTGCATTAAGTAATAAATTAATAAATGTGCGAGATTCTCTGGAACACTTTTGTAATATAGTAGTCGCAGATTTTGTTTTACTTTTCCACAATAAGGATATTATTATTTTCAGATATATTTTACTTTTACAGACTACGAACTCTTCCAAATGTTTTAGACTTTTATGTTTAGAACTGGACAAGTGTTGAAAGATACACTTTCCTAGAAAGTGATTGAGACTTTACAAAAGCCTATTATAAAAGAAAAGCAGCAAAACAATAATATTTGTTCTCTGATAAACATTACTTGTTGTTACTTAGGATGCCGGTTTTCTTAACATCTGGAACAAAATAAATATTGAATTTGCAGGTTTATTAAGATTTGGATTACTCTGACAATGAAAGTTGCTTTAGTCCTGCTACTTGTGGATAATTATTGGGATTTTATCATGTGAAATTGTTTTTGTATAAAGTTTATTCACCAAAGGAAGAGATATATTTATATTTATATATATATATATAAGCCAACCACATTCATCACAGTAAAACATATAAGTTTATCATCTCTCATGCTTGTGTTACAATTCATCAACAATTTCAAATAAAATAGACATTTGATTGTATTTTCAAAAAGACTCATGTATCAGTTTATAACTTTTGGTCTATTTGAATGCTTTTATCACTTTTAAAGTAGTTACATTTATTTCAAAATTCTATCTCAATTAGAACCAATTAACTCATGATATTTTACATAAATTTCACAAAACAAATCAAATATCCCATAAATCATAATTTAATAATAAATCTCAATCACTCAAAATAGTCTAATTCATCGCATCAACTAAAATCATCAAAACAACCAACATCATCACATTTCAATTTCAAACAATATTTCAACATACTAGCTGTACTCACTTCAACTTGGTGTTGTCCTTTGTAAGAAACATTAAAAAGGAATTTTCAACATCCAATATAGTACACTCCACTATAGTACCAGTAAGACCACATTTTTATACATCTTAATTATGTTAGTAGTAGTAGTATATTATATTATTATTATTATTATTATATGGATCTTGTATAAAGCATGCATGCCTCCACATTGCTTTACCTTTACCTGCCTTTTCCTTTATCTTCTCCTTTTCATAAGATACAAACTCTACTGATTGCAATTGCCACCCACTTTCTTTTCTCCTTTTCGTTTTTTCTTTTCTTTCCCTCAAAAGATCAACAAACTAATTATGTTTTACCAAAATCAAACTTTTCTCCATCTTTCTAACATCTATTTTGACACGATGCAATAGTTTATTGAGAATTATTCAAGACAACCTTGGGCAGAAATCTAAAGCGGAATATGATTGCTTACAATGTTGTTAAAATAAAATTGCCAAACCCATGCTTGAAGAAATCTTAGCAACATGCATTTCAAGTGCCTTTTGTTAGATTAAATTTGTACCAATTATGAGTTTGGTTGCCTTCATGAATCTACTTTCTTTATGCGCTTTTCACTAAACTAAAGATCTGTTCAATAATTTGTCTTAATCATAAAGTAGGGCATGTTTTCTATGTTGATTTTTCAGCTAGTCATGATTTCATGAATCGTATTAAAAAAAGTATTTAATATATTAATTTTCTATTATCATAATAATATTATAGTTTAAATTGTGAACACTTATCAATTAATTAAGTTTTAATTATTAATTATAATTTCAATTATAAATATAATAATAATCTTAATATAGTAATCTTAATTTACCTATATTTTCTTGTTTCAGTAAAAAGATTATGGTTATGAGGAATTAATGGCCTTGTTTTGTCTTTACTCATCAAACGCAGGCTCAAGCTGGAATAATTCCATTTTTTTCGGAACTGAACTAGTGCAAACTGTGCATTTCATTAGATTCATTCGGATAAGTTTTGATTATTTAATTTTTAATTTACAATAAAAAATTGCAAATACTACTAAATTTAACAAATAAAATTTTTTAAATATAAATAAAATTTATGTAGAAGATCAAAATAGAAAAAGAAACTGCTACAGGGTAAAGACAAGATGTAAAATTTATTTGGAGACAAAAAGGTTAAATGCATAGGTCCTACTTAATTATTTTCGTGCCAAATGTTATGCTTTAGCGAACATCAATAAATGATACAACAAAACAAAAGTAAAATTTTATCTAAAACTAAACGAAAATAATATACAAAATTCAAAGTTACCGAGGAACCAAAAAAATTATTGAAGTAAAAATCACAAATTTTTTTTTTCGACATTTTCCATCCTAAATTTTGTATATTTCGATGGTAAAAAGTGATATTGTGCACGTATCCATATATCTTGACTCTTAGTAAGATATTATTGTTTTGGGTTAAGTTCTCACGAATTTGTTTTTATGTACTTCAAAAAAACCTCTTATCAGTATAAATTTATGTTTATTTCTTATTTTATTTACTTTGTTTATAAAACAGAAATGGTCTAATTAATTATTACTGTCTATATTCTTTTATGGCAACTGAAGCATTACATTATAAAAAGGAAGTTTGCAATAATTCTTCCCAAAGTTTCCTTTATGATCCACCTGGATGATTTGTTTACCTTTTTTTAGTGAGGAAAAGTAGTCATTGCTTCCCTTACTCGCTTCTTAAAACACTTCTTTCAGATATTTTTTTTTTTCATTTATATGTTAGCATAATTTTTATCTAATTTCCTAACAAATTATCTGATAAAATATTGTAAATTATTTCCCTTTAATAAATAACAATTCTCTTAGCATACTACCAATTAATATGATATTTCGTTTTCTCCTTTGTTTGTTTATATATATTATTCAGTATTCGGATGTAGATACATTAGTTCTTTCCTTTTTATCTTAACTCTCTAAAAAAAGTTGAATAACTTTTTTTCCAAAATAAATTAAGCGAGGTAGGAAATTAAATAACCCAATTTGTTAAGTCATTGTGGGAAAAAATTGCATTATTTGAATGGAACGATGGATGAGTGGAAGCGTGGAAAGAATTAGGAAAAGTTGCAAAGAAAGCCAACTTTATATATCAATCATATTATTGACCTCGAGATATCTTCATGTGCAAGAGAGAATAAAGATAAATTTTTAAATTATCTTGGTCCTTCTTCAAAATATTGATTCACATTTTCTGAACTTATACATGTGGACATATGGAGTCCAGTTTCCACTTCATCAATTGATGATTTTAAATATTTTTTTATTATAGTAAACTTATCTGTTTCATTTGAATACATATTTTACGAGTCAAATCTAATATAAATTTTGTTCTTTCTTCGTTTATTAAATTTATTGAAAATTAATTATTTTTAGGTTAAGGTGACTGACGCAGAGTATGCGAGATGAGGAGTAGTGAGAGAGAGAATAGAATGAAAGTATAAATGTATAATTCAGACTTAGTAAAAGTAAAAGGTAGTAAAAGTGTATATAAGCGATGCATGGAGCGCACTATAACTGACACACGTCAGTTAAAGAAGTTATTTTTAGTTTACAACATGTCCTCTAAACTAAACTACTAAGAGACTTAATATTCAACATTTCTCTAAGTTTCTCGAATCTAGTTTGCCTGAGGGCCTTTGTAAAGACATCAGCAGTTTGTATTTCAGTCGAGCAGTGCACCAGTTCAATTTTCCCTTGGTTCACTAAATCTCTCAGAAAGTGGAACTTTGTGCTGATATGCTTGCTCCTTCCATGGAACACTGGGTTCTTCATGGAACACTGGGTTCTTCGACAGACTGATTGCGGACTTGTTGTCCACCGTCAACTGAATCGGTCATTTGTATTCAAGCTTTAAGTCCATGAGAAGCGCTTCCAACCATACGCACTGACACGCCGTTTCTGCAACGGCTATGTACTCTGCTTCACACGAAAAGATTGTCACCACATATTACTTTTTCGATTACCAGGAGATGGATGCTCCCTCATATTTGAAGATGTATCCGAAGGTGCTTCTTCTGTCAACCTGATCTCTGCTCCAGTCAAAATCACTCCAGACTTCCAAAGTACTCTCCAAGTTGCTCGCTACTTTTGAAAATAGAATACTATAGTCAATTGTTCCTTTTAGGTACCTTAGAACATGTTTCGCTGCTGACATATGAGATTGTCTAGGTTCATTCATGAACCTGCTCAGTAATTCAACCCCATAGTTTATATTCGATCTGTTGTTGCAGATATATCTCAAAGATCCAACGATCTGTTTGTATAGTGAAGCATCCACGCCTTTCTCATCATGTTGATTTGTCAACTTCAGGTTAGCAATAATTGGGATAGTTGTGCTGTTACACTCGGTCATGTTGAAACGCTTCAGAACTTCACTGATGAACTTCTTCTGGTGCAAGAAAACTCCACTTGTAGTTTCAGTAAACTCCAGACCGAGAAAGTAGTTAAGTTTTCCAAGATCAGTTATATCATATTATGCTCTCATCCTGCTTTTGAATTCTTTAATAACTGTTTTAGAGTTTCCAGTTATAAGCATATCATCGACGTATAGACACACCAGCAGAACATTTTGCTATGCTGCAGATTTTATGTAAACTCCAAACTCCACCGAGCACTTCACATAACCAATTTTCAGAAGTAACGTGTTGATGTGGTCATTCCAGGCTCGTGGTGCTTGCCTTAATCCATACAACACGTTGTTCAACCTGTAGACCTTGTGTTCTTCACCTATCCTTTCGAAATCAGGTGGTTTCCTGACATAAACTTCTTCCTCTGGAGGGCCATGCAAGAAGGCTGATTTAACATCTAGCTGATGCATTTCCCAGCTCTTAAGATTTGCAAGTGCTACTATCAATCTCACCTTTTCCAACCTTGCGACTGAAGCAAACACTTCAGTGAAATCTATTCTCGGCTTCTATAGGAATCCCTTTGCAACGAGTCTCGCTTTGTGTTTAGCAATTTCACCATTTGGCTTATACTTGGTCATGAAAACCCACTTTATGTCAATTGCCTATTTACGTTGAGGTAACTCTACCAACTCCCAAGTGTTGTTTTTCTCAATAGCCTTTAATTCATCAATCATGGCTTCTCTCCATTCTTTTACATCAAGTGCTTGTTTCCAGGAGATTATTTCTACATCAACAAGAAACGCAAGGTGTGCTTGATCTCCAGGGTCAGCTGTATCATTGTCAGCAAACACTTCATAATCAGCTAATCTGGATGAAGGAAATCTCGTCCTCTATGATCTTCTGCTATCAACATCATCACGTATCTCAGCTTGTTTATCAGCAGAGGTTCTGTCTTCTAGCTAACATGAAGTAATAACAGGCTTCTCATGTGTTCCAGTCTCACATTTCTGATTTGCTTCAGCTTTCTTCCAATCAAATGTGGCTCTCTCATCCACGATAACATCTCTACTTATCACAATTTGTCTATTCTTCGGACTGTATAACCTGTATGCACCCATAGAATGATATCCTATGAAGATAAAAGTATCGCTTCTATCATCTAACTTCTTCCTCTTCGCGTCTGGGATGTGCCTGTAACATACTGAGCCAAAAATTTTAAGATGTTTAACGGTTGGTTTAATACTTGACCAGGCCTCCTCTGGTGTGCAATTCTCCAATGCTTTTGTTGGGCTTCTGTTGAAAAGGTACGTTGTTGTGGAGACAGCTTCTCCCCATAAGCATTTGGTAATATTTTGCATTTTAACATACACCGAGTCATGTCGAGCAGCACTCTATTTCTCCGTTCAGCCAGCCCGTTGTGTTGTG